CTTCTGACTGCTTCTCCTCTCATTTGTTTCCTCCGTTAACATTTTCATTTCGATGCTCATTTTGTAAATTTCGCTCCTGTTTGGTGTAAAGCAGACATTAAATCAGGACCTGATTCAGGCCTTCTGGTTGACAGGTTGCTACTGGATCAGAACCACGTCCACCTTTACAGACAGTCCCTCTACAGAACCACTGGTGACAACATGAGCCAAACAGGAAGCCGGCCAGTCAGTCGAGTACTGAGCTGATGGATCAGTCACCTTGCTCTCCTCCTCCAGCTGCCTCTTCAGGTCCTCAGAGTTCTGGCACACTCCGGCCTTGGAGCGCTGCAGCTGACCAATCACAGCATCCCGCTCCTCCAGACGGCGGCCGGCCTCGGCTGAGAAGACAAAGAGTGAAGAAGGTCAGTATCAGAGAGACGAGGTTGGCTTCTGAACAAGGGTTACTTAGATGTGTTCATGTCTAAAGCTCCATCCAGATGCATGAAGAAGGTCCTCAGAGGAGATGAAGCCATGCGCTGGACGTACCGGTCTCGGTGAGCGCTCGAGCTTTCTGAGCAGAGACCTCGGCCAGTTGTCTCTGCAGCTCGTCAGCTCTGCCTCTGCTCTCATTCAGCTGGTCCTCATAAACCCGGCACATCTTCTCCACCGCCGCCTGCAACAGACAGTTCATCACCATGTTGGTTTGTTCATGTCTGCCCTCAGTGAGGAGGATCACAGGTCAGTGTCTGAGCTTAGTCCCACACAGGTGGATCATCTGGCTGGTAGAACTGCAGCTTTACTGCGTTCTTCAGTTGATGCTGTTGCCTCATTGAAAAAGAAGCCTATAAATGATCATAAAACATCTCCGTGGTCGAGTCAGCAGCTGTGCATCTATAAACAGGAAGTAAGAAGGCTAGAAAGACAGTGACCTTCAGCAGCAGCTCTGGATGCATCCATAGGACCAGATCTATACTGTGACTGCTTCTCTGCTGTGAACCTGTCAGAGCTCACGTCCATAGGAAACTCTTCTGAACCAGCAGCATGTCTGTTGGACCCAATCCCAGCTAGACTGTTCAAGGACGTCTTCCCTCTAATAAATACTGCAGTATTAACTATCATCAGCTTCTCTATATTAACAGGCTACGTAGGCTTTTAAAGTAGCTCTAATAAAACCACTGCTCACAAAGCCTGCTCTAGATCCAGGTGTTCTAGCTATAGGCNAGTAACAGTCTGGAGGCTTCAGCAGGTTGTTTAAAGTTAACTGTTTACAACATGGAGTAACTTAAACACAAACTAGCTCTCCTGAAGAAGTCAGTTGTTCCTAAACATTTAATGAATACGTTTTTAACTTCCAAAGCTACCGTTAGCATGCTAACAGCTAATGGGTGGACGAAGGGACACCAGCTGACGTGACAGAATCTTTAAACTTGACCAACAGTTCATCATCTTTCTGTTTCTGGCTCCTGATCTCTGTTCACTACAGCCGTGTAGCCGACAGCGCCACCTACAGGTTTATTCTCTCTCTTGTGTGATCTCCGTGCTGTTGCAGTAGAACGTCTGATCTTACTTTGCCTCCTCCAGCTCTTCTATCTTCAGCACGGCGTCGGTCTCGTACTTGGCCCTCCACTGGACCACCTGGCCGTTGGCCTTGGACAGCGCCCTCTGCAGCTCGGCCTTGGCCTCCTGCTCCTCCTCCAGCTGCTCTCGGAGCAGACTGCCGTCGTGCCGTGACGCCTGCACAGCGTGAGCCAGCGCTACGCGAGCCTGCAGACACGTTCATCACACCGAGTTAGAAAGATTTGTGGATGTTCAGACGCCTTCGATGGCATCTAGAATCACCCTCGTCACCTGAACATGCATTGGAACTCCGGGGGTCTCTGTAGAGACTGTAGATAAAAGATGGACGATGAGAAGCATCAAACCTGCATCCTCTCTAGCAGCCAGCAGGAGGCGACTCTTGAAAACAGTCTGATCGTACAAAGTCTGGAGGACGTTTTCCACTGCAGGGACTTGCTGGACGGTTTTAGGGTGATCAGAACCTTTGTCCATGTTCTGACTGCAAGAACCGTCCTGGAGAACCTCGTCAGAGCAGTTCTCAGATAGAAGCTAAAGCTACGTGGTTCTGATCTGCTAGCGTGAGAGAGAAGAACTGGAGCCATGTTTCTGGCGTCTCGACATCGATGCGTCCACTTTTACCATCAATACATAAACAGAACAAACCTGCCGGTGTTTCTTTGTGCTCGGAGTAACTGCTGCTTGTTCTTGTCTGAGGAACATCTCCGCCAAAGTTACTGGACCGGACCGAATACTGGACCTGGGCTGGAGCTCGCTCCCTGTTCTGACCCTGTGTTGCGCTGCAGGGTTCCCTCTCCTTGGTGTGTGTGTGTCTGTTTCTCATGAATGAATGAGTGAATGAGGAGCAGGTGGTGTCTGCTGATTGGCTGCCGCGCCTGACTTCTGCCACGTGATTGGTCAGGGGGCGGGTCCTAACCGGTCTCCTCTCCAGCCTGTCGCCCTCCAGGACACGTCAGCATGTCACATGGTCGTGTGTTGATGTTGTAGGAGGACGTATCAGCAGTGATCAGACAGTCGGTGGAGATCTGGTTCTGATAACTTCTTGTTGGTGTGCAGTCAGCTAGAGCAGAACGTTTGTGGAACCCTGTAGGTTCTTGTATATAACAGTGGAGCAGGAGGAGGAGTTTTGTTCCTGTTTTGTGATTTTCACAGAAGGTTAAACGTGTCATTCATTTACCTTTGACTCTGTTCAGGGAAGTCAGGGTTCACTTAGAGAGCTTTAGTTCGTTATGTCGACTCTCCCTCTGAAGTCAGTCAGAGCTGCTCATGGTGACCTGATGTTGGCCTTTCCTGGAGTGAGAAGACTGGAGGAGCACCGGTTCATGTTGGCTCAAAGGTTCCCCTGGACCGGGCCATCAGAGAACCCTCCTCCCTGTCCACTTTCTTCTTCTTCTTCTTCTTCTTCTT